TGGCCCTGAAAAGCCACTATGGGGAGTGGTCAATTAACCTAAGTATGTATGTACGTATGTATGGATGTTGAAAAGACTTTAATAACAAAAACTGTGTGGAAAGTGTTCAAGGACTTGTAACAAAGATGATTACCTTAAAACTTTTGTGTTATTGTATAATCCATGCAACCTACGGAAAGATTTCCCTATACCCCATACCAATCAAAAACAAAGCCATAGTCCCAAGGGAAATCTGTTGTTTTGCCTCTGCTTTCCTTTATCCAAGAACTGAATGCATAATAAAGTATCGGGTTAAAGGGAAATCTTGCCCAACCTACTGACACTTTTTGCTGAATAATCTTCTCTGCAATTAATAGTCACTGTACAGTGTTATAGCTCAGCAACAAAGTGTTTAAGAGAGCCATTTAGAAGGATCTCCATATTAGTTTAGTGTTTATATTTGGTATTTCGTCTAACCAAGTGATGTAATACATTTAATTTAATAATAAAATAATTATAGGCCAAGGCTGTGATTACCTGTATAGAGCACATTGCCACGAGGACCTTCAAATAAGAACCTTCAAGATGAACATAATTATGTGCATAATTTTATCAAGATAATTATGTGTATAATTGTATCAAGATGAACATAATTATGCCTATAATTTTATCATAAGACCAAATGTAAATATCAGGTAGCCCCTGTAGGTAAGGTTAAAGCCAAATCAACTTTGCTCTGCTGTAAAAATTACTGCAGCCAGCTTGCAAAGTCACAAACATGTAACAATTAGACAGGTCTTTCTGTTCCAAGATATATCTTAATGGCTAAGAAAAAGTCCACACAAATATAAATTAAGAGAACAACTTGGTCAAATCCAGCTAGAAGTACCTTGATCTCAAGCTTTTTAACTACCATAACACACACATAAGATCTTACATGACAGATCCAATGCAGTGTCCAGCAGGCAACAATGTGACACAAAGAGAACTTCGCTATGAAGAAAACAACACAAGCTGGAATAAATCATTACTTATACACTGTACTCAAGAAACATTACAATTCAAAACCAAGGGAAGTTTACAGGCAGATCTTATAAAACACTATGTAACAGGGGTTTCAATAATGTTTTCAGCAGGAGGGCAACTGGTTTTCACAGGTGGGCAAAACTTTTTGACCTGAACTTCTTTACAAGATAAAATTTCCTCCAGATTGTCAATCAGGTTGGTAAAACTGTCCTCAACCAGTCAATCTGCCTGGTGCCCAGCACTTAATGAGACCCCTGTGTAACCAAATAAATTAGATCTATAGTTGTTTAAAGTCAAGGACATTTACCACTGAGTAATTGAACTTTGTCTTCCACTGAAAAAAATGTGGATTTGGGCAGTTTTTTTGTCTTATTTTAAAAGTTCATAGCTGTCTCTCTTGTAATGCTTTATAAAGTTAAGAAAGCTCGATCCCATAGCCTCATTTTAATCCTAGTCTCATCGAGACACTGCTGGATTATCAGAATGGCGTGTACATCTAAGGATAAAAGTTATTGTCAGATTTTGTGATTAACCTTTTCCACCCTAAAAATTAGAATTCATATTCTCCATACTGTTCTCTATACATCTTCTATGGTATGGACGAGGAGAATTTGTTTGACAATTGGGAGTTTCTTAAATTGGTGATCATTTCCTTAATTCTCGGGACCTTTACATTTGATTCAAGGGTGATACTGTAAGGCAAGGCTGTGCTCTAAGAAAAATTGAAGGGAACCCAGTGCTCTGAAACTGTGAAATCCAGGCTGCCTAGCACATGCTTTTTATTAAAAAACAAGATTCCTGAGTCGCCCAAATGCAAAAGTAAGATGCCAGGGACCACTAGGCACTGCGAGACCACAGCCCTCATAAGGTGACATTAGACGCCAGACACTCCAGGGATGGAAGAGTGCAGGAAAATTTAGACCATAAAGGAACGGTGTACAACAGGAAAATAAACAATTTACCTCTCCTGTCTTGTCGTCTATGAGTGGAACTATTGTCTGCTGGTCCAAAGGTATACTGCACTATAATGTGGAGAAAATAATTTTATGTTTTACTTTTAATGCTCTCATGTTAAACAAGAGGGGAAGAGAAAAATATTTTTATTTAAGAAATGACAATGTTTGGAATGAAACAAAATAATTCACAAAACTTATGATACTAACAATGTAATCTTTGAGATGACTGTATGTTGGGTTGCTCATCAACAAATTCTCTGTAGTCTCAGAACAATACAGGAAAACAGTTTTGCTGTTGAAAAGTAAATTAACCAAAACCTATGAGAGCGGAAAACTGTTAGAAAAGAGAATTACAAACTATGAAAAGTGCTCAGTTTCTCTTTTTCTTTTTAAAGCGATCACTGTGCACAAAGACATCATTCATTATTTGAACTAACTGATTAAACCTCTGTGCTTTAACTGCTATATAAACCATAAGGAGAAACATCACCCAATATTTGGGTGATGAACTTCCAAATTACAAACACAAGAATTTGGTACAGAGACATTATTGCTTCTTATTATCCAGCTGTGCTTCATAAAGTACAAATAATGCTTGAGATGAGCACAAATACCATGCAATATTTGTACTCCAGAAATATCCACAAAATTCACCTGCACTCAAATAACAATTCAGCATGTTGGATAATAAATCTCTTATTAGATATTTTGTTGTGTAGTATTGCTGAGTATTTTTACCCATTGTTTGTATTTTGACTCATCTAATGAGCTCGTCAAAATACCCCACAACTCATAAAAACACTTAGCGACACTACACAACAAAATGTCTAATGAGATATATATACTTGTGATCAAGCCAGCTCTCTCAGAACAAGTAATTTAACATCAGCTGATTATTCACATATGTATACTTGACCTGTTAGATCTTATTCCTAAAGCCAGTAAAAGTATGGCCATGCTACAGGTACTTCAGAGATCACTTAGGTTCTGTTACACAACTGATTAGCTTATTTTTTTTCCCTTTATTTTCTTATTATTCTATACTCTTTGAAACAATTTTTCTTCCTCCAATATGGCCTGGGGGGTGGGCACTTGTTTGGGGGGGGGAGTGCTTAGTAAAGTGTGGAGGCTTATTTGAGGAAATGGTATATTTTATACAAGAGTTTTGCATTTGTGAAAATATCAGTTAATAAGTAGCCTCGTAATAATAAAGGCTGCCTTTGTCTTAAAGATTGCTCGTAGACAGGGCTTGATACTAATGGTAGCCAAAATGCAACTAGCCACAGACTAGTAGAAATTCAGTTTTGGATAGTGATTTTTTATTTCCATTGGCAAGTTTGGCCAGTGAACAAACTGAAATTGTTGTAACATTTAAGTTGTTACTATCCAATTGGCTAGTAATTTGAAAAGTGAGTATCGAGCCCTGATACACTGTAGTCAAGTTTAGTGGTTTAGAGGTTTCCTCTGAGTCAAGCTTGTATGATGAAAATGTGAATCAAGAAGTATAAGAAAAGATCTTTAGTATAGTCCGGTTTAGAAGCCTGTATTCACACACCTTGCCTTTAATCTATGGTGTAAGGCTGCAGAGTCTAATCCAACCATATGATCTACAAATAAAAATAAAAAAGGAAACAAAGTTTTTGTCTTTTTTGGGGGTTACCTCTAATTTCACTGACAATTAATAATTTTAATCTATAACAATTTAATATTTATATTGCACAAATTAACATGTGGATATGATCAAATGCGCATCACAACACTTTTCGGGCGACTTTGGCCAGACTGCATCAGCAGTTTACAAACAACCGAAGGAAACTTATTTGAAGATGCCCCCTCCCCCCCAATTCCCAGTAAATTGATTTAATTTCCTGCAAACTTTGTATCGATCCGATATATTTTTCCTCCTATAGAACATAATGGTATCCTTACCTTTATGACAGTGCGAAAGGAAAAAAGCCAAGCTGTCAAGGTTTCCCCTTTCAAAATTGTCAGCCGAAATCAACGGATATTCTCTGAACTTTCCCGTAAAAGTACTCATCGTTTTTGCTGCGGTGCACTGCAAGACGCAACTTTTCACTTAGTTTCCATGACTTAGTTTCCTTGGCTTCTCAGAGACGAAAATAAATATCTGAAAGATATGAGACAACATAATGGCAACCAAGGACTAGCAGAGCTTTAGAAACCCTACAAGAAAAACCCTGGGAAAATGGGCTAACATGACAATTTTTGATTCGGAGCGAAAAATCAAATATGGCGGCAATTTGCTAATTATAGTCACCAGTCTCACTGCATCTATATTTGGCCATCATTGCCATATTTGGGTGAATGACATCAATTCAACACAGCTTTTTGCTGTCCCCAGTCAACTTCACATCATGTAATCAAAGGACTTTGAGAAGTTTCTAGTTGTTTTCTATTCGTGTTTTGTATTTTCTGGAGAAGTGGTCCCATAGTTAAAGATGTCCAGCATTGATCTTGAATCTCAAGACTCTGCAGACCCGGAATCGAGTGAATATGACGAGGATGAAGACTACGATGATGATTATTATAATAATGTTGATGAAGACGAAGGGATGGCCTCAGATAAGGAGGACGATCCAGAAACCTTTGAATTCCAGATCATTGATCATAATGAAGCTCAAGAAATTTTTGACGATTTAGTTGCTAAGATCTGTCAGGAAATTAAGGTAAAATCGCAAAGAAAACCAGCTGATGCGTGCGAAAATTGTTCAGTCATTCCATCATTGCCCAAATGCGATTTTCCAATACTGGAAGAATTTCAATTTTTGTGCTCTCGTGGAATCTAATTTGTGTCTTGAATTTATAACCAGGTATCGGAATCTGTCTCCAGAATACTTCTCATGCAACACGATTGGAACACAGAAAAAATTTTGGAAAGGTAACATATGGTCCTATTCATGCAATTAAAAACGTATTGGATTATTTCTATAGTTGTACTATTTAAAGCTAATGGTGGCAATTTCATGTTTAATTATTAACCCAAAAGCGTATCGAACAACCAATGTTTTGGCTGCGTACCACTATTCTAAAAAGGCACGTTCTACCCAATGAAATATTTTGATCTCCTGTGACATCTGTATCCTTTGTGAACTAGTCAGACAAGGTACTTGTGTGTAATTAATTAACACTTGAATGAAATTGTCTGTTTAAATTTATAAAACAACTGCAATGATATGATCACCTTTAGAGGTAAAAAACGCACCGTTTACCATACCAGTGAACCCATCAAAAATGGAAGTTTTTAATTTAGAAAGCAATAGACTACACTTTCTATCAGTTTATAGGTTTAAGAACCTACTTGGAATGTTGGGAATACAGTTGAAAAGTCTGTAAATCTCTTGCCTCCTAATCTTGATGTAAAAACTATTCTCAGTAGAAAGTGCAGTCTGTTGTGTAATTTAGGAATGTATTTTTTAAGTCCTGTCATTACAGACCAATTTCTTGCAGCCTATGTTAATGGTGATTCAGATACGATGAATATATGAAGTTCATATATTATTTTGAACTGCGGTTGTAGATACTTATGATGCACGATCCTCGCAGTAGAGAGTGCTATTTATGTAATAGCGAAAAATCAGACCTGAAAAAAAAAAAATAAAAAAATAATGGTGATTGTTGAAAAACAATCATTTAAATAATGTATATTGCTTTTTTATGCATTACACTGTCAGGTACAAGGTATTTTTTTTATATAAAGCAAGATATCACAAGGTGTGGTGTTATGCGCAAGCAATTTTAATCACTGTTTTCTTTTATGGACCTTGAAGAGAATTTTGAAATGTTTTACAAGGTGGTGTTTTAACTTTAACTCCCAGAGTGATAAATATGTAACTTCTTCCTATATGTATAATATCCATACATTATTCAGCAAACAAGTACAGTGGAACCTCGATTTAATTAACCTCTATATAATGAAGTCCTTGGTATAACAAATGATACTTCAGCTTCAGTCCAGCTAAAGTTGCAGTAAAATGTATGCCATAAAACCTTTATAAAACGAACCGATTTTCCTAGTCCCTTGGCACTTCGTTAAATTGTTCCACTGTAATGAGAATAATCAAACTTATCAGGTAGAAGTTTTTATCTCGATCTTAAAAGGAATTCTTGTATCATATTTACAAGGAAAATAATTTGGACAGAGGGGAGAATTAGCAGGCAGATCATGGGAGATGGAAGATTAAGAGAGTAATTATGAACAATACACTAAGCCCAAATTTCTTTATTTATGCGACAGAACTGACAGAGCTCCCTTAAATACAATCATTGAAAGCTATGTTAGTGGTAAAGTTAATGCTACACTTCACCTTGGAGGCTTTTTTTTAGAGAGAGGAGCTTATTGGACCCTACCTTAGGTATATGTGTACTTTCTATGTATTTTAACTAGCATTACTTAATTTTTATCCATAGGCACAGAGTTGATCCCGTAGGACTTCTTGTGGAAGGAAGGATCATTCCAGAAAAAGCAGTTACCACTCAGACTGTGAGTAATGATGAACAAGGATCTTGTCATGGTTACGTTGTTATGCTAATACATATAGGTTGTGTCAGATTGCCCTTAAAAGATTTCAAGTTGTTCTCTATAATCGGTACATGTAGATTTATGTCTATCTCGCAAAACTCGTAAGTTGTGATATTTTGGATGGTGTTTTCTCTAACAAAATTTCTCACACCTTTCAGACGTCAAGATCTCTTTACTGCCCAGTATGCTTTCAGCGTTGTACAAAATCCAACACTAGCAGTGCGTCATGTGGCCATGCATTTTGCAATGACTGCTGGCTGTTATATTGTGTTACCCAGTTAAAGATTGGTTTATCTTCTGGTATGTATTATTGGTAAATCCTAACATCCTAAGATCAGTATGCATATTCTCCATACTGTTCTGTATACATTTCCTAAGGTGCTGATAAGGAGAATTTGTTTATGAATCAAGAAAATTATTTAGTTGGTGATCATTTCCATTATTATCATGACCCTAATATAGTGATTATTGATTCTTTCACAGGCATTGAATGTATGAACTGTAATCTCTTAGTTGGAGAGGAAATGGCTCTTAAGATACTAAAAAATGGGGCTCCTAGAGAAAAATATAGACAGTTTCTTTTTAACGATGAAGTTAAGGTAACTAAAATTTGTACTGTTTGTTACAGCTTTTTATTTTTGAAGGAATTGGACTCAGATTTGGCAGTACTACTTTGTATTCCAAAGGGCAAGGGGAAAGCTTAATTGTCACTGTACTTAATGGACTGCTGATCAGAAAATCCAGTTAGAGCTTTGGTTGGTTATGGTATTGTGTTTGTCAGAATGATTGTGGCTCCAGTGCACTGGGGTCTAGTGGACTGGGGTCTAGTGGACTAGGGTCTAGTGGACTGGGTTCTAGTGGACTGGGTCTAGGTGACTGGGTCTAGTGGACTGGGTTTAGAGGCCTTGGTCAAGAGGACTGGCCAAGCCCATGTGTTACATGTTCTTGGGCAAGACATTCTTCTCTGACTTGCAGTGCCTCTGCAGCCTGTGGTATAATTGGATATAGACAAATTTTTAAAGAAGTCTGACGAAATTCTGGGGGTATTCATTGGAATGAACTAGTATCCCATCTATGATACTCTCAGTTGCTTCATGTTAAGGAAACCAGGATAAACTGTGGAGCAGGGATGGTGCAGTGGTGAAGGACTTGCCTCCCACTGCAATGACCCAGGTTTGATTCCCAGACCTGGTGTCACACGTGGGTTGAGTCTGTTATTGGTTCTCGTCCTTGCTCTGAGGGTTTTTCTCCAGGTCCTCCAGTTTTCCTCCCTCTTCAAAAACCAACATTCCAAATTCCAATTTGATCTGGAAACAGTGGACAAGAAGAGCCACCCAGTGGAATGTCTAAATTGCTAAGTTATTTATTTATTTATTTATTGGGTGGACCTCTTTGCTTGGGTACAGACTACCATCAGTAGGACACTTCACTTTCACAGTGCCTCTCTCTCCACCTAGGAGTGTAAATTGGTTGGGAGGGGGGGGGGACTTACAATAGACTCGCGTCTCGCCCAGGGAAGTACGTGTAGCAAGGTACCTAATCACTTCCTGCCTGGCATTCCATTGTCATCTCCGTCCCGCAGTGCATCTGTCACATTATTCAAATTGTGCTAAGAAAACCCTCAGAAGTCCCTTGATCCAAGCTTGACTTCCTTTGCTAAAATGTTTATATTTCTTAGTGTCATCCTTTAATAAGATGGTGTCCTGGCAATGATTGTGGTTTCCTGGTGAAGGCATTGGAGCCTAAAGCTAAAAGAGTATGGTGTTCAAAGTGCAATTCAATATTTTGGTGAGTCTGTACTTTCCACTGTGTTATGATTATTAATAACAACCTCATCCCTTTGACCAGCATCTAATTTATCCTTACAATATCACTGCTGGATCACACATTAAAGTCATGAGAATCAAGGAAATGATCACCAATGAAAGAAGCTCCTGATAGTTAAACAAATTCTCCTTGTCAGCACCTTAGGAAATGTATAGAAAAAAGTATGGAGAATATGCATACTGATGTTAGGGTGTCAAAGGGTCAAAAGCATAGTGATGCTCAGTATGTTTAAGAGATGGTTAATTTTGCTAAAATGTTTGATTGTTTGAAAATTGGAACCCTTTCTGTTGATGTTAAAGCATTGAGACAGAAGAAAATATTTAAAAAAGACTTTTAACAAGGCAATGCTTTAAGATTCAATATTCTTCCTTTTTATCTTGGAGTTTTGAGATTAGATTTTTTCCAAGTATGAAAAATTTCCTGAACATCTTACTTGTGCATTTTGTTACTTCATTTATGAAAATGAATTCTACACTCCCAGACATACAAAGTTATAGTAATCAAAAACAACAGCAAACACACTTCATCTAAACACATTTTTCAACTAGTCTGTTTTCAGACACAGATGCGTCAGAGGAGCATATGGAACAAGTCTAGGATGTTCCCTCGTCTTTGAGCTGCACAGTAGTTAGTTGGGAAACTTTAACAGAACAATATTTCTGTGCCATCTTGCAGACAAACATTAAGAGAGCAGGGGAGGCAGTAGGTTTCCTACCAATTGTGTCTGGTAGTGTAGATTTGAAATATTATTGCTGGTTGATTTGTAATGAGGCACTGTTCATTGTAATAGCATTTCGCAGCCATCCAGTATTTTAATTGAAATCAAATTGTTCTATTGTCTTTCTCTCCCTCAGTTTTAAGTGTGGTGAAAAATACCATGCACCAACAGATTGCTACACAATTAAGAAGTGGCTCACAAAATGTGAAGATGATTCAGAGACAGCAAATTATATCACAGCCAATACTAAAGATGTGAGTATAACAGTGTACACACTGATAGACTGAGGTGTACAGTAGCTAAGAAAGGGAGGTTCAGGCTGTCTGTTTAGGCTGCAAGCAGATGTCCAGAATGCTGGGAATTACATTTTTGGTTGTGAAGATTTCAAAATTCTTTTTTCTAGGGGAGCAGGCCCTAAGTCCCTAGAGGAAGTAATGTTACAGCTCCTTTTCCTGGCACAGCCCCTTTTCCTGGCACAGCCCCTTTTCCTGGCACAGCCCCTTTTCCTGGCACAGCCCCTTTATAACACCACTGAGAGGCTCTTTTAGAGAAAGTTATTGAAACCACTCCAATAGATCCCTTCAATTTTCAGCGAGCTTTAATCTTATTAGACAAGTTATTTCACCTGCACAAATATTTTGTCAAGCGTTTTCTGGACAATAATTATTTATATCCGATAATCAACAAGACGCAAGTATTGTAAAGCGGTTTTTTGCCCTCTAATCTTTGGTTTGTAAAATTGCATTTGTATGTGTATTTGGTGTTTTAATTACATGTCCTTCTTTCATTTTTCCACTCATACAGTGTCCAAACTGTGGAAGCTGTATCGAGAAGAACGGAGGCTGTAATCATATGGTAACTCTTCCTTCATTTGATGTCTTGTTGTTTTTGCTGCACTCCCACACGGCACTTACGGAGTTCTTTGTAAAGTACTGATTTTTTGTGTTCCTGTGTTAATTTTCAGCAATGTATCAAGTGTAAACACGGTAAGTTTTTATATTTTAGTCCATGCCTTGTGCGCAATAGGATTCATCCTTGACTTATGGCACATCTCATCTCTGTGTCCCGACAGGTTTGGGAAACGATTTTACATACACAAATACATACATACACCTACATCTTTATTTAACAATGCAGGTTACGAAAATTGGCAAGACCGAAGTCTTGATGTGGACCTGCTTAACTACAGCTAACTAATTATTGTCACATTAAAATAAGGATAAAAGTTTAGGTGAGCAAGGTTTGTTATCGTACAGCGCAGAATTTCGGAAATGGATTGTGCAATATAGCACAGCGGCCCGCTAAACTGAACAACCGCCGCGCGCGCGCGCGCGCTCAGTAAACTGAAAGATTCGATTAGTGTCTTTACTTTCCGGATTTGACTCTAGAACCGAACCTTGCAGTGTTTTCTCGTCCAAACATGGCCTTATTTCCTTGTTTCGTCCTAATTTGAATTGTAGATTTTTGCTGGATGTG